GGTAGAGTGCTTAGCCAAAAAGGTTTCCCGGGCATCCACGGAGAGCTCCAGTGACAGCCTGCTCCCCCTCCTCCTCCACCACCTGGATCCTCGGCATACATTCCAACGATTTCACTTTTCCCTGCAGGCTGGCATTTCTGCCCTGGGAGGTCTACCCCCCAGTGCTGATGGCTTCACAGATCGTTTACCGCTGTTAACCTTCTCTTCCCCTGGGGAGGAAATGGCAGCCCACTCCAGTATTCTTGCCTGGAGAATTCCATGGACAGAGGAGCCCGGCGGGCTCCAGCCCATGGGGTCACAAAGTCAGACACGACTGAGCGACTGAGCACGCACACAGGATCTGATCTCCCCCTTCCCCACCTGCAGGATCCCTGTGGCCCGGGCTTCACCTCTGAATGCACGATAAGCCTGGTGTCCCCTGTCTTTTGTGTCCACCCCCCGCCCCGGTCCCTGAGAGCTGCATTTGACACTTTCCTGCCATCCGAGAAGGGCTTCTCCGTGCCTGTCATCCCACCCTGTGCAAACCTCAGACCCGTGCCGGACAGCTCAGCACCCACAGAGCTGAGTTTGGTGGGCGGTGATGGGCACTGGGTCCCCCCAGATGAGGGTCAGCCTCAGGTCCTAAATCAGAGGCTCACTGAGAACAGGCACCCAAGCACCAGTGTCTCTGAGTACCTAGTAAGTGTCTAATCATGTGCTGAATTATGAAAATAATTAGGAAAATATCAGCACTCTTACAATGCTATATTGGAGAATGCTAAGTGATACCTTAATAGTTCTGTAGGAATAGTTAACTGTATTCTAAAGTTATAAAGGTATTTTAAAACACTCATAAGGATTTTAAAATCTCATCTGTCATCCCAGATCCAGCAATGCTATTGGTATTTTTAAGGTAATGATGCACACAGATTTCACAAACTTGAGTAATGCCTAAAGATGTAAAAATGGACGTGGAATTCTCTTCCTACATCCCTCCTTGATTTTCTCTCCCTGAACATAACCAGCTTCAGCAATTTTTCATTAGCCCTTTTAGGAAAATACTTTAAGTGGAGATGTACACTTAAAACCATGAACACATTTGGAATCACACTAAATACTCTATTATACACTTTAAAGGAGAAGGCAATGGCACCCCACTCAGTACTCTTGCTTGGAGCATCCCATGGATGGAGGAGCCTGGTGGGCTACAGTTCATGGGTTCATGGAGAGTCGGACATGACTGGGCAACTTCACTTTCAGTTTTCACTTTCATGCACTGGAGAAGGAAATGGCAGCCCACTCCACTATTCTTGCCTGGTGGATCCCAGGGACAGAGGAGCCTGGTGGGCTGCCGTCTGTGGGGTCGCACAGAGTCAGACACGACTGAAGCGACTTAGCAGCAGCAGCAGCAGCAGCACACACTTTAAAAAAATTAACAACTTCTGGGAATCCTACATTATAAGCATAAAACTTACAGGTTTTGAACTTACTTTGATTTTGTTCAAATCCTCATACTTTCCCAGGTTACCTTGAATATGTTATTTAGTCAGCCAGACTCTGTATTTCCTTGTCCATAGAAGGAAGAGCAGAGTGATACCAACCTTCCAGAATGCCTGTGATAAACAAGGTGTAATACAGGCAATGTTGGCCATAGTCTTAGGGGCTCACACGGAAGTGTTTACTTAAGATTATCATCAGGACATAATTACCTGGCCTTTTAAAATGGTTATATACTCTCCCAATACAAAAATATACCTTAAAAATCACTCTGAACTAATTGATAAACATTATTTATTATTTTTGTTATTAATTTGTTTTGTCTGTATTTTTAAATGATTATAAGCAATGACTAAATTATACACTCACAAATATGTATCAATACTGGGAAAGTGCCTGCTGGATGCATTTGGCAATATACGATAGCTGCTTTTTCTCTTTCTGACTTACTTCACCCTGTATAATAGGTTCTAGGGAAGAATAGAGAGTAGCATTAACATATACAAGACCATATGTAAAACAGATAGCTGGTGGGAGTTTGCTGTGTCACACAAGCTCAAACCCCATGCTCTGTGATAACCTATGAGGGTGGGCTGGAGTGGGAGGTGGGAGGGAGGCTCTAGAGGGAGGGGACCTATGTATACCTGTGGCTGATGCAGGTTGCTCTATGGCAGAAACTACTGCAATATGGTAAACAATTGTCCTTCAATTAAAAATAAATTAAACAAGAATTCCAAATGGTTAAAATCCTGGAATCAAATTATACATTTTCAATGTTGATAGATGTGCCAGGTGGGGCCCCAGTTCACCCTTTCCCGAGGTCACACTACCAGTTTGTTCTCATTCCTCCCAACAGTTATCAGTTTTAAAAGTCCTTGTCACTCTAAAACGTAAAAGGTGGTCTCTCTGTTTTCTCTCTCTTAAGATACTTTTGTCATTGTGCTTCATTGTCTGTTATACTGTCCTTTTTTTTTTAACTTTTGTAATCAATTCTTTTCTATTTCCCAATTACCTTGTTTAGAAAGATCTCCCCAATTCCCTAAACTATTCCTTTTTGCTTCCTACTGGATTAATTTCATTGTTACACTTTTATAGAAAGTGTCACATCATATCCAGGTTTGAATAGAGTTTTGCTGCTGACTATATCTGTTCGTTCCTTCAGTTTCCCAGTCACATCTGACTCTTTGCAACCCCGTGGACTGACTGCAGCACACCAGGCCTCCTCGTCCCTCACCATCTCCCAGAGTTTGCCCAAATTCATGTCCATTGCATTGGTGATGCCATCCAGCCATCTCATCCTCTGTTGCCCTCTTCTCCCTCTGCCCTCAATCTTTCCCAGCATCAGGAACTTTTCCAGTGAGTCACCTGTTCTCATCAGATGACCGAAATACTGGAGCTTCAGCTTCAGCTTCAGTATCAGTCATTCCAATAAGTATTCAGGATTGATTTCCCTTGAGGTTGACTGGTTTGACCTCCTTGCTTCCAAGGGACTCTCAGGAGTCTTCTCCAGCACCACAGTTCAATGGCATCAATTCTTTGGCGTTCTGCCTTCTTTGTGGTCCAGCTCTCACAACCATACATGACCATTAAGCAGACCATTATCCTTGACTATACGGACATTTGTCTGCAGAGTAATGTCTGTGCTTTTCAACACACTGTCTAGGTTTGTCATCACTTTCCTGCCAAGAAACAGTCGTCTTCTGATTTCATGGCTGCAGTCACCGTCCACAGTGATTTTGGAGCCCAAGGAGAGGGAATCTGTCACTACTTCCACATTTTCCCCTTCTGTTTGCCATGCAGTAATGGGGCCGGTGGCATGGTCTTAGTTTTTTAATATTTAGTTTTAAACCAACCCTTTTACTCTCCTCCCTCACATAGAGGCTCTTTAGTTCCTCTTCGCTTTCTGCCTTTAGAGTGGTATCATCCACGTATCTGAGATTGGTGACATTTCTCGCACCTGTCTTGATTCCAGCTTGTAACTCATCCAGCCGGCATTTCTCATGATGTGCTCAACGTATAGGTTAAAGAAACAGGGTGAGAGCAGACAGCCCTGTCATACTCCTTTCTCAATCCTGAATTGATCAATTGTTCCATACAAGGTTCTAACTGTTGCTTCTTGACCTGCATGCAGGTTTCTCAGGAGACAGGTAAGATGGCCTGGTATTACCATCTCTTTAAGAGCTTTCCACAGTTTGTTATGATCCACACAGTCAAAGGCTTTAGTGTAGTCAGTGAAACACAGGTAGATATTTTTCTGAAATTCCCTTGCTTTCTTTTTGATTCAGTGAATATTGGCAATTTGATCTCTGGTTCCTCTGCCTTTTCTAAACCCAGCTTGGACATCTGGAAGTTCTTGGTCTGCATAATGCTGAAGCCTAGTATGTAAGATTTTAAGCATGACTTTACTAGCAAGGGAGATGGGTGCAATTGTCTGATGATTAGAACATTATTTAGTACTACCCTTCTTGGGAACTGGGATGAGGATTGACCTTTTCCAGTCCTGTGGCCACTATTGGGCTTTCCAGATTTGCTGACAATGAATGCAGCACCTTGATGGCATCATCCTTTAGGGTTTTGAATAGTTCTACTGGAATTCCATTGCATCCACTAGCTTTATTAGCAGCAGTTTTTCCTAAGACCCACTTGACTTCACACTTCAGAATGTCTGGCTCTGGGTGACTGACCACACCATCACAATAGTCTGGTTCATTAAGATCTTTTCTGTACAGCTTGTCTGTGTATTCTTTCCATCTTTTCTTGATCTCTTCAGCATCTACTAGGTCTCTATTGTTTCTGTCCTTTATTGAGTCCATCTTTGGGTAAAATTGTCCCTTGATATCTCCAGTTTTCCTGAAGAGAGCTCTAGTCTTTCCTCTTCTGTTGTTTTCTTCTAGAGAAGAGATGAAAAAAGTGAGGGAAAGGGGGGAGTTTTATCCAACTACATGAAGAGTTCCAAAGAATAGCAAGGAGAGACAAGAAGGCCTTCTTCAATAAACAGTGCATAAAACTAGAAGAAAACAGTGGACTATGTTGAGATTATAACTTTATGTCTTTATTTGGGAGCTCCCCAACCCATCCCGGCCCGTATTACTATCCAGGGCTGTGTGTTCTTCTCCATTTTTTCAGTGAAGGACCTGACCTTGGTCTGCTGTGTGCTGTCTCTCTGCTCCAAGGGTCAAGTCCTTTGACCTCCACACCACTGTCCCTGAAAAGATGGGGTGGAAGGGCTCATGAGTGGACCCCTCGTCCCCTAATTCTCAGCCCCCTATGTGACCCTTTTGCACGTGGGTCCTCCCTGGAGGGAGCCGTGTGTGTGTGGTGTGTGTGTGTGTGTGTTTCTCTGACTCTCTGGGACCCCAGGGGCTGTAGCCCTCCAGGCTCCTCTGTCCATGGAATTTTCCAATCAAGAATGCTGGGGTGGGTTGCCATTTCCCATTCCAAGGTTCTCCCTGGAGGGAACAGCGTGTTTGTGAGCAGATGATAAAGCAGTGATGCACCTTTCTTTCTCCCTCTCTCTTCTACAGTCAGGCATGATAAGAACCCAGGAGGCGGACTACTTCCTGAAGCCCCTCCCTTCACACCTGGCAGGGAGCCCCAGTGACTCCATGGGGGGCAGGCCTCCCTCCCACATCCTGTACAAGAGATCCACCGAGCCACCAGCCCTGGGGCCCCACCGGGTCGCGATGATGGAGAAAAAGTGGGAGCTGGAAGGCCACCATCTCTTCCACCACGAAGGTCAATCCCCACGCGGCTTCAGCTTCAGGCACCCACAGAAGCAGCATTTCTGCGGAAGACGCAAGAAATGTATGTAAGGACGATTCTTTTTTTTAATTTAACAATTAGGACGTTAAGTAAGACACTGGAGTATTTTTAATTTTCTTCAAAGTAGTCTGCCCTCGAGGTGAAATTTATTGACCACCTTTGCTAATCCTAAGTGATAATTCCAAAGAGAACCCATCATCTGGACGTTCAGAATAAAACATCTTTCCATGGCATATGGATAAAGGTAGATTTTTTTTTAATTTTAAGAGCTGATCCCTGGGCAGACTAAATGACCTGATTCCCGTAAATGTAGACTCCTCCACCAGACATCTTCAAAAGAATCTTGGTGTGTCTACCCAGTAACTATATTTTTGAGGTCTAGATTTGTTAAACCTGACATGCTTTTCCCACTGAGGTGATTTATCCCTAGGCAGGTTTATATAATTCACTCGTCATGTCAGAAGACACAGGATGCGTGGTATAATTTACCTACATTTTTTTCACCAAGGCTTTATCGAAGTCCTCTTTGTTTGTGTCACAAACATTTAGGAAGAGAAATGATATTTACGTTTTATGTAGGAAGCTCTCACAGACTCAGGAATAGGAGTTCAGTGTTTCCTGGACTTGTCCTCATTTGCTTCAGCTTTCCCCTCAAGCATGGCTTTATTTATTAATAGCAAACCTTCCCCAAGGAGCTTCTGGAAGCCCACCCTTCTCTGCTGCTTAGTTTCGTTGGCCGCTGGGCCAGCACTCTCACATAAGCGTGGGCACGTGCAGGGGCTCCATAACATGCTGCAGAGAAGAGAGGGTGACCCAGAATCACTTGGCATCTATGACAGAAGAACAGGAGTGGCTGACCTGTTCGCACCCATGTGTCATCTGAACGCACGTCCTGCAACTCAGTCTCGGACTACATTCAGACCGTCTCAAAAATGTCATCCCAAACTGACCAAGAGCGGGCTGGGTCTTAGGGGAGGCAGCAGAAGAACAGTGTTGAGCACAAGGAGAGCGAACAGGAGGGTGAGAAGGTCAGGGAAGCCCAGTTGAGTGAGCCTCAGAACAGCTCACACTGACCAGCAGTGGCTTCCTGAGTCTGCGCAGACGGGGGCGGGGTGGGGCGGGGGCGTGTGGCCAGACAGACCAATGGCAGGGCCATGTAGGCCGGGGGCGGGGCCAGGCAGGTCAGGGGTGTGGCCAGACAGACCAATGGCGGGGCCATGTAGGCCGGGGGCAGGGCCAGACAGACCAATGGCAGGGCCATGTAGGCCGGGGGCGGGGCCAGGCAGGTCAGGGGCGCGGACAGACAGACCAATGGCGGGGCCATGTAGGCCGGGGGCAGGGCCAGACAGACCAATGGCAGGGCCAGGTAGGCCAGGGGCGGGGCCAGGCAGGTCAGGGGCGCGGCCAGACAGATCAGGGCGGGGTGAGACCAGTTGGAGCAGAGAGGCGGGACTCAGGCACAGACAAGGTCAGAGCCAGGAAGGTGCTGGCGGGGCTCCCGGTGAGAGCGTGGTCAGAGCAGGACTGACTCCACGTGTCGGAGACAGGAAGATGACCAAGCACCTGGATCCAGGCAGGAGAGATGGACAGGGCTGTCCGCACCTCTTTGACAGGCCGCGCCAGGGCCCGACACAGACGTTTCAGTGTTTCTGAGCAATCCAGCAGTGCCGACCCTTCTGGAATGAATGTGACCCTTTCATTCTTACCAGGAGTGAACGGAGCCATTCAGGCCTGTAGCTCAAAGGCAGTGCACCTGGGCATGCAGGGCAGTGCGATTGTTCTGTTTGGTGTGGCTGTGTGCACGTGTGTTTGTGTGCACGTGTGTCAGTGAATTTGCCTCCAGAGGCATTTCAAAAGCTCGGTAGTGGAGTCTGGTTGGTGAGAGGGAGTAGCTGAATAAGACACTAAATTATACAATAAGACTTGCAGTTGGAAAATGGGAAAATGTAGCCATTTTTTCCTATTTTTTAATCTTGATTTTTTAAATTACAAAAGTATGATAACTCATTTACAGGAGTCTTGGAAAATGCAAAAAAAAAAAAAAAGGTTACATGTAGTTCCACTATATATTACAGTTATTTTTTTTAAGTAGATGAAGATTTTTAGTTGAAGTTTCAATATCAAACTGTCAGAAATTAATAGAATGAATATACAGAGAAGTAGAAGGCTATACTAGACCTGAAAAGCATTATGTTTTCATAATAAAACTAGAAAAAAGGTGGCAGAAAATGCCTCTCACTGGTGGGCGACATCAGTGGTTGATCTGGTGCTGTTTACTTGGCATCTCTGCCCGCTCCTGCAGGGCACGTGGCGGTTCTGTGCCCGGCCCCCCGAGCAGCTGGGGCCACACCCAGCAGAAGTGATGCACATCCCTCTGGGCTGAGCACTTAACCCTCAGGGCTCCCTTATCTGACAGCGTGAGACAGGACATTCCCACACTGTCCATGAGGCTTTGGGCTTCCCTGGAGGAATCTCCACCTTCTGTCTCAGCGGGGTTTACACCTACAAGGGTTCTTCCCTAGAGTCTCTGTTCAGCAGATGAGGGATTTTCCTGCGTGTTTAGGCTTCCTTGGGGGCTCAGACGGTAAGGAATCTGCCTGCAATACAGGAGACCCAGGTTCAGTCCCTGGGTGGAGAAGATTTCCTGGAGAAGGAAATGGCAACCCACTCCAGGATTCTTGCCTAGAGAATTCCATGGGCCGACCACAGGGTCATGAAGAGTCGGACACGACCAAGCAGCTAACCCTTTCACTTTCCTGTGTGTTTAGCTATCTCTCTCTGTTGAAAAGGGCAGAGAAAAGCAGGCTGATTTGCCAAAAATCAATCATGACGCTGAACCTCAGGCTCAAACGGTAGCTTGCTGCTTCTAGCTGATGCATCGCAGGTGGGTTTTGAGCTGGGACTCACATGTGGCGGGAGACGCTGTGGGACTGTATTGAGCGGGTGACTTGTTGTGAGGGGCTTGTCAGACCCCAGGCAGTGAGACCACCACTGCCTCTTTCCAGTACCGAGGGCCTGGGGAACTGCTGGTTCCCATCTCCACTTGTACCCTGTACTACGGAAATTAAGACTTAAGGGCCCTGGGACCACACTGCCGGCTCTGAAACCCATTCCCAGCGCCTTCTAGGGAGGGATTTAGAGGAAGTGCTGTTCCTCTCCCGTGCCTCGGTGGCCTCGCTCCTACCCGTGGCTGGTGTAGAGAGTGAGTGCGCTGCACATAGACATCCCTCACAGGGGAGACCACATCAGTGTAGATTGCGGCAGTGCAGATGGCACGCGGTGAGTGCCTATTAAACTGTAGCCAGTGTAGCTGTATCCTCCCAAGAGTTTGTTTAAGTTTGCAAATATTTTAGCAAAGAGAGATAAAATGCAGCAGATGTGTCAGTCAATCAAAACAGTGTCTTCTGGCTGAGTATGAGCAGAGCTGGTATAGCTTTTGAATTAGTGCCACCTAAATACGTGGATACTTTCACACGGAGCAATTCTAACCACATTTTCTGAGGCATCCACCAAACCTGGCTGTTTTTAGCATAGTGTCAACTTCCTGATTATCAGAGCCAAAACTATTTTTAAACAGCTTTCTCCAAGAGGACCAAGTCTATTTTGTCTTCCAGTTAAATTAGGTAAATATTTATAATACTTTCGAGGAAATTCAGTTCTACAGTGGATCTGTCTGGAGCATTTATAACCTACTGGAAATACAACAGACTATCCGCCTGTGTATTTATAACCCACTGGAAACACTACAGACAATCCAGCTGTGTGTCCAGACCTGGGAATCAACTTTAAAACCTCTTAGGTCATTAAAAGTCTTCAAATAAGAACACCATGTAAGACAGCACTTCTTTTTGTAATCATTAGTTTTATTGCTCTGTCAGTGACTTCTTTTCAGAGCCCTGTTGCACATACCCTCATGTTCACAATCTTGGAACATCTTGCTTTTAGGCACCAGCGCTTCAGAGCGAAAGTGATCTTTTTCTTTTTGTTGTCAAGTCACTCAGTCGGGTTCACCCTTTTGCAAACTCGTGGGCTGCAGCACGCCAGGCTTCCCTGTCCATCACCAACTCCCAGAGTGTGCTCAAAATCATGTCCATTGAGGCAGTGATGCCATCCAACTATCTCATCCTCTGTCGTCCCCTTCTCCTCCTGCTTCAGTCTTTCCCAGCATCAGGGTTTTTTCCAGTGAGTCAGCTCTTCACACCACTTGGCCAAAGTATTGGAGCTTCAACTTCAGCATCAGTCCTTTCAATGAATATTCAGGACTGATTTCCTTTAGGATTGACTGATTTGATCTCCTTGCTGTCCAAGGGACTCGCAAGAGTCTTCTTCAACACCACAGTTTGAAAGCATCAATTCTTCAGCACTTAGCCTTCTTTATGGTCCAACTCTAACATCTGTACATAACTACTAGAAAAAGCACAGCTTTGACTATACAGATCATTTTGTTTTAAATCAGGAGAAACTTCTACAAAAGTCAATATAACAATGAATTCTATGACATCTAGACTATGCAAACTTTATTTAAATGTAGTGTTCCACCTTAACACGTTTCGAGTCACAGTTTTAAGGATTTTATGGTTCATTTCATGAACATTCATTTTTAAAGTCCATTTTCTTTAGCTCTGCCACTGATTTCATGTGATGACTTTTATTTCCTCTCTGAACGCCCCCCTGTAGACACGCCCAAGCCTCCCAAAGAAGACCTTTTCATCTTGCCGGATGAGTATAAATCATGTGTAAGGCACAAGCGATCCCTTCTGAAGTCCCATAGGAACGAAGAGCTGAACGTGGAGACGCTGGTTGTGGTTGACAAAAAAATGATGCAAAACCATGGCCATGAAAATATCACCACTTACGTGCTGACAATACTCAACATGGTAGGCATGTCCTTCTCTCTGAGTCATCTATAATTCTACCTCATGGTGTGTGCATGAGTGTGTATTTACCTCCTGCTTTTACTTGTGGATTTATGTTTTGTACACAAGAAATACTTTATCCGTGATAGCGCCTTCACTTTTACTATGCTCCAATCAGAAAAGCCATTTTCAGTCCTTCAGAGAATAAAATTTGGAGGATGAACAATTTGGCCCTCTCTGTAAGCCGGTAACATGTTTCAAGTTTATGATGTTTCCACTTATCAGAAATCTCCAAGAGGATGCTAATACTTTTGAGTGCAGTAAGCCTGCACATTGGCATTATATATGTGTGATTTCAGATGGCCCTGTAGAAATGCCCATCTTCCTTGGTGGCTCAGATGGTAAAGAATCCTCCCATAATTCGGGAGACCCGGGTTTGATCCCTGAGTTGGGAAGATCCCCTGGAGGAGGGCATGGCAACCCACTCCAGTATTCTTGCCTGGAGAATCCCCATGGACAGAGGAGCCTGGCAGCTACAGTCCAGGGGGTCGCAAAGTGTTGGACATGACTGACGTGACTTAGCACACAGCACATAGAAGTGCTCATCTTTTTAGGAATATGAATATAAAATACACATTATTTTATCTACAAGAACAAGAAGCAGTACACCAATTAGAATGTCACTGGAGAGGTGACCTAAATTGGAAGGAAATCCAAAAACAAGGGGATATATGTTCACATGGGGCTTCCCTGGTGGTTCAGTAGTAAAGAGTCTGCCTAGCAGTGCAGGAGATATAGGTTCAGTCCCTGGGTCGGGAAGATCCCTTAGAGAAAGAAATGGAAACCCACTCCACTATTCTTGCCTGGGAAATCCCACAGACAGAGGAGCCTGGCAGTCCATGGGAAGACAGTCAGACACGAGTCTGTGACCCAACAACAGTGACAAACAATGCATACATGTACTACATGTAGTACATGCAGTACACGTGATACATACAGTACATGTCATACATGCAGTACATGTGATACATGCAGTACATGTAATACATATAGTACATGTGATACATGCAGTACATGTAATACATGCAGTACATGTGATACATGCAGTACATGTAATACATGCAGTACATGTGATACATGCAGTACATGTAATACATATAGTACATGTGATACATGCAGTACATGTGATACATGCAGTACATGTAATATATATAGTATGTATAATACATGCAGTACATGTAATACATGCAGTACATGTGATACATGCAGTACATGCGATACATATAGTACGTGTGATACATGCAGTACATGTAATACATGCAGTACATGTGATACATATAGTACGTGTGATACGTGCAGTACATGTAATACATGCAGTACATGTGATACATATAGTATGTATAATACATGCAGTACATGTGATACATGCAGTACATGTGATACATGCAGTACATGTGATACATATAGTATGTATAATACATGCAGTACATGTGATACATGCAGTACATGTGATACATGCAGTACGTGTGATACATGCAGTACATGTAATACATATAGCATGTATAATACATGCAGTACATGTAATACATGCAGTACACGTGATAGATGCAGTACGTGTAATACATATAGTACATGTGATACATGCAGTACATGTGATACATATAGTACGTGTGATACATGCAGTACATGTGATACATATAGTACGTGTGATACATGCAGTACATGTAATACATGCAGTACATGTAATACATATAGTACATGTGATACATGCAGTACATGTAATATATATAGTATGTATAATACATGCAGTACATGTGATACATGCAGTACATGTGATACATGCAGTACATGCGATACATATAGTACGTGTGATACATGCAGTACATGTAATACATGCAGTACATGTGATACATGCAGTACATGTAATACATATAGCATGTATAATACATGCAGTACATGTAATACATGCAGTACATGTGATAGATGCATTACGTGTAATACATATAGTACATGTGATACATGCAGTACATGTGATAGATGCATTACGTGTAATACATATAGTACATGTGATACATGCAGTACATGTGATACATGCAGTACATGTGATACATATAGTATGTATAATACATGCAGTACATGTAATACATATAGTACATGTAATACATGCAGTACATGTAATATATAGTATGTATAATACATGCAGTACATGTGATACATGCAGTACATGTAATACATATAGTACGTGTAATACATGCAATACATGCGATACATGCAGTACATGTAATACATATAGTACGTGTGATACATGAAGTACATGTAATACATACAGTACGTGTAATACATGGAGTACATGTAATACATATAGTACGTATAATTAATGGAGTACATGTGATGCATGCAGTACGTGTAATACATGCAGTACATGTGATACATGCAGTACATGTAATGCATATAGTACATGTAATACATGCAGTACATGTGATACATGCAGTACATGTAATATATATAGTATGTATAATACATGCAGTGCATGTAATACATGCAGTACATGTAATACATATAGTACTTATAATACATGCAGTACATGTAATACATGCAGTACATGTGATACATATAGTACATGTAATACATGCAGTACATGTGATACATGCAGTGCATGTAATACATATAGTACGTATAATACATGCAGTACATGTAATACATGCAGTACATGTGATACATGCAGTACATGTGATACATATAGTACGTATAATACATGCAGTACATGTAATACATATAGTACCTGTGATACATGCAATGCATGTAATACATATAGTACGTGTAATACATGCAGTACCCGTGATGCATGCAGTACATATAATACATATAGTACGTGTGATACATGCAGTACATGTAATACATATAGTACATGTGATACATGCAGTACATGTGATACATACCGTACATGTAATACATATAGTACATGTGATACATATAGTACATGTAATACATGCTGTACATGCGATACATTCAGTGCATGTAATACATATAGTACGTGTGATACATGAAGTACATGTAATACATACAGTACGTGTAATACACGGAGTACATGTAATACACATAGTACGTGTAATACATGGAGTACATGTGATGCATGCAGTACGTGTAATACATGCAGTACATGTGATACATGCAGTACATGTAATATATATAGTATGTATAATACATGCAGTGCATGTGATACATGCAGTACATGTGATACATATAGTACGTATAATACATGCAGTACATGTAATACATGCAGTACATGTGATACATATAGTACATGTAATACATGCAGTACATGTGATACATATAGTACTTATAATACATGCAGTACATGTAATACATATAGTACCTGTGATACATGCAATGCATGTAATACATATAGTACGTGTAATACATGCAGTACATGTGATGCATGCAGTACATATAATACATATAGTACGTGTGATACATACAGTACATGTAATACATATAGTACGTGTAATACATGTAGTACATGTGATACATGCAGTACATGTGATACATACCGTACATGTAATACATGCAGTACATGTGATACATATAGTACTTATAATACATGCAGTACATGTAATACATATAGTACATGTGATACATGCAATGCATGTAATACATATAGTACGTGTAATACATGCAGTACATGTGATGCATGCAGTACATATAATACATATAGTACGTGTGATACATGCAGTACATGTAATACATATAGTACATGTTATACATGCAATGCATGTAATACATATAGTACGTGTAATACATGCAGTACATGTGATGCATGCAGTACATATAATACATATAGTACATGTGATACATGCAGTACATGTAATACATATAGTACGTGTAATACATGTAGTACATGTGATACATGCAGTACATGTGATACATACCGTACATGTAATACATATAGTACGTGTAATACATGCAGTACATGTAATACATATAGTACGTGTGATACATGAAGTACATGTAATACATACAGTACGTGTAATACATGGAGTACATGTAATACACATAGTACGTGTAATACATGGAGTACGTGTAATACATGGAGTACATGTGATGCATGCAGTACGTGTAATACATGCAGTACATGTGATACATGCAGTACATGTAATGCATATAGTACATGTGATACATGCAGTACATGTAATATATATAGTATGTATAATACATGCAGTGCATGTGATACATGCAGTACATGTGATACATATAGTACGTATAATACATGCAGTACATGTAATACATGCAGTACATGTGATACATATAGTACATGTAATACATGCAGTACATGTGATACATATAGTACTTATAATACATGCAGTACATGTAATACATATAGTACCTGTGATACATGCAATGCATGTAATACATATAGTACGTGTAATACATGCAGTACATGTGATGCATGCAGTACATATAATACATATAGTATGTGTGATACATGCAGTACATGTAATACATATAGTACGTGTAATACATGTAGTACATGTGATACATGCAGTACATGTGATACATACCGTACATGTAATACATATAGTACATGTGATACATGCAGTACATGTGATACATATAGTACATGTAATACATGCAGTACATGTGATACATGCAGTACATGTAATACATGCAGTACATGTAATACGTGCACTGCATGTGATACATGCAGTACATGTAATACGTGCAGTACATGTGATACATATAGTACATGTAATACATGCAGTACATGTAATACATATAGTACGTGTGATACATGCAGTACATGTAATACATATAGTACATGTTATACATGCAATGCATGTAATACATATAGTACGTGTAATACATGCAGTACATGTGATGCATGCAGTACATATAATACATATAGTACGTGTGATACATGCAGTACATGTAATACATATAGTACGTGTAATACATGTAGTACATGTGATACATGCAGTACATGTGATACATACCGTACATGTAATACATATAGTACATGTGATACATGCAGTACATGTGATACATATAGTACATGTAATACATATAGTACATGTGATACATGCAGTACATGTAATACATGCAGTACATGTAATACGTGCACTACATGTGATACATGCAGTACATGTAATACGTGCAGTACATGTGATACATATAGTACATGTAATACATGCAGTACATGTAATACATATAGTACATGTAATACATGCAGTACATGTAATACATATAGTACATGTAATACATGCAGTACATGTAATACATATAATACACATAACCGGCTCCCTTCACTGCACAGGAGCAACTAACACAACACTGTAAAGCAACTATACTCCAATAAAAAAAATTTTTTTAATGTCACTGCAGATAAAAATGTGTCTGGCTTCGTCTCTACTTGGAAGCTCTAGTCTTTACTAAAGTGTGGTGAGTGGTGTCTAAGCCCCATACCACCTAAGTGGAATCTGCGTAACAGAAGACAAAATTTGGGGCCATCAAAGTGCATTTTTTAAACAGTTGTGATGACAGTATTTGAAACATACGTTTCACGTCCCGATAGACCGAGTACCCCTAAATATGATTGAGTTTGCCGTGATTCGGCATGGCTGCTCTCACTGTCCTTGTTTTTGGCGGCCAGACCCTCATGGTTTCCGATCTCGCAGGGGACTGAGGGAGGTGGTGACCCGGAGGCACCCGCCACTGCAGGTCTGTGACATTTGCAAACATTCCCTCTGTTCTGTTGAGCTTTTCCCGAATTTCGACATCTTGGTGCCAAATGAACTCCCTGGAGCTTCCCGGGCCGTTGACTCATCCTCACTCATTGCCTCAAATGCCACTCTGAGCACTCTTTTCTACGCCTGTGACTTTCACCTCTAATGTCTGCATCTCCCCTTGATGACCTTTCTACATTGATTTCCTTCTCTTTCTTGTATCCTCTTGGTCTTTTCCCAAGAACTTCTCTTATGCTTCTGGAATCTTTCGCTAGGACAGCTTGGGGAGTGCTCCCCTGTGGGCCATCACTGTAAGTTAAAAAAGAAACTTCCCTGTATTCTAATGAGGACACTTACCAACTGGGGCCTTGTGAGCCCTTCACTGGTGTTTGATACACATGGGACCTGCCTCCCCAGACTTCATTGTTTTACTTCCAGGCACCAACAGTAAGGGCCCAACAGTTGGTGTGATTCGTTCCCATACCTGTGTGTCTTGGGTTTCCCTGTTGGCTCAGATGGCAAAGAATCTGCCTGCCATGCAGGAGACCTGGGTTCAATCCCTGGTTTGGGAAGATCCCCTGGAGAAGGGAAAGGCTACCCACTCCAGTATTCTTGCCTGGAGAGTCCCATGGACAGAGGAGCCTGGTGGGCTACAGTCCATGGGGTCGCAAAGACTCAGACACATCTGAGCGACTGACACTTTCACTTTCACACTTGTACTTCACATCCCTGTGTGTCTAGCAGTGTGAGAAACTGAATGTTGCTCCATCAGTGGAGAACACGGAATTGGCTTTCAACTGTGAACTCCAGGCTAAGGGGTGGGGGAAAGGGTGTCAGGTATAGGGACTGACATGAATTACCTGTCTTTCCCAGGTGTCTGCTTTATTCAAAGATGGAACAATAGGAGGGAACATCAACATTGCCATTGTTGCTTTGATTCTTCTGGAAGAGGAACAGGTATCCTATCTTTGGTACCAGCAGCTTTTCCCCCTTCGGAAAAATAACTGCAAAATCACTATTCATTTTCCTAAATATAATTTTTCTTTGGATTCTTTCCTTCTCTTTCCCTTGAGGACAGAAATGTTCTGATATTGTGTGTCTAATACAGTGAGTTTCTTGTCAGTTCCCATAATGCTTATTTGACTTTTGTTTGTGATTTTTGTGCAGAGTAGTAAGACATACTCTTTTGCTTGGCTAAATAAGAAAATGGAAAGGAAAATTAACTTTAAAATATATAGATGTATATTTATTTATTTGGCCACACTGGTCTTAGTTGAGATGCTTAGTCTTTGATCTTCATTGCAGCATGTGGGGTTCTTTAGTTGTGGCGTGAGGGATTTAGATCCCTGACCAGAGACTGAACCTAGGTCCCGTGCATTGAGAGCATGAAGTTTTAGCCGCTGGACCACCGTGGAAGTCCCAAGAAGAACTACTGTAAATACCTGGGTGGGAAATACACTAGGAATACGAAGTGCAAGCCTGGTCCTCAGCCACTGTGAGCCCTGAGGATGGAGGTGGGGTCTTTTGTTAGAAGACGAACACCACCCCGTAGCCAGAGGCTCAACCGAGCCGTGCAGCCCTGCATGCTTTACTCTGTTCCCTCCCAGCCGCTGACGCTCACCTTCACCGCCTTCAGTCTCAGGATTTTATTCTTACAGAGTCTAGGATGTCAGGCACATTTCTCTCATTGCGCCCAAACCCCCAAATCATGCCGGATCTTGGGGGCAGTGGGGAAAAGATTCTCTGACGCCTTCATTTCAGAACCCCTGGGGTGCACGTCCGTTCACAGTAAGGACTCGGGTGGGCATCTTGTGGCAGAAGCGAGGGGGAGTATCTTAGCCATAAAGGGCTCTCGGTTCTATTTTGCCCCGAGCTGGTCGTTGGCTGGACATCAGGGAGTGAACCCCGGGTCCTAGTCAGGCACCCAGTCTCCAGTTCTGGTGTTTCGGCAGAGTCTCCTGTTAGCCATGGTTGTCTTGTTTATGAAACAAAATTGTTAGATGAACTCTGAGAGCCTTGATAAGATCTCAGATGCCTTCAGCTTTGCAGGCTCTGGGCTGCGGCCCTCTTTCCATGCAGGCGGGGTGTGCGGGGGCAGGCGTGTTTCTGGCCTGCATAGTCAGTGGGATACAACCCCACTGCCTCTCCTGTGTGTCTGCAGAGGGGCTGCTGGACGAGGGAGTCCCAGGTGACAGGTTAATTATTCTCTGCATTGAAACATTTCACCTTGGAATTCATCCAAGCAGCAAAGAATAAGCGAGGTTATCGTTTGATCATACACCTGTGTTAACTTTAATTAATGCAGTTTTCCTGGAAACCACCAGCTGAAGAATGCAAGGCATGTCCCAGGGTTGATGTACAGCATTAAGCTTGGGTGCATTTGGCTCTCTGGGAAAACACAACAAACACCAAAGGGGAAAATGTGTTAGTGACTGAGACACAGTTCCAGCCCAACACTCGGGTCAGGAAAGCTTTAAACAAGTTGTTGTCCTGAAATGGAGTTGTTTAAGCTGGTTTTCTCTGACCATCCATAGGAAAATATATCATACCTATAGATTTAAATAACTCATCTGCCAGCTCTGAGAGATATTCTTACCAGCCCCCCCAATTCTTCATTTTCCAAGAGTTCAGGTGACCTTCATTCTGATCTTTCATTGCTGATCTATTAGATCTATTAGAACTAGTACCTATACCATCGTGGCTCAGTGGTAAAGAATCTGCCTGCCAATGCAGGATATGCGGGTTTGATCCCTAGGTTGGGAAGATCCCCTGGAGGAGGCAAGGGCAACTTACTCCAGGATTCTTGCCTGGGAATCCCCCTGGACAGAGGAGCCTGACGGGATATAGTCCTTGAGGTCACAAAAGAGTCAAACATGACTTAGCTACTGAACAACAACAGCAATACATGGAGGAGGCTGAACGTCATCTGTATAGTTTCCTTCTAGTTCCAGCCTGTTTCCTAGAAATAAAGAAATAAAGCTTTCTAGAGATTAAAGAAATTTCTTTCTAGAAATAAAAAGTTTTGTCAGTGGAGCAGCCTCTTCTTACAACATGGTGCCTCTGTGGAAAAGTGACCTAGTTTAACTCTGTAATAATAACTCTTAGAAGAGTTACACACACAGGAATAATGTTCTTGGGTCCTCGAAATGTGTTCAGTGATTGAATGCATCCACACTGTTTTGTACAGAACTCGAGAAAGGAACATGAGCGTCTACACTGACTCTACAGGTTTTATAGACAACACCCTCCTTTGGATTTTAATACATGAAATGGATAAATTACTTTGTCTGCCATTCAGATTCACCCACGTCACTGAAATCCAAATCAATGCTAGTTTGCGGTGATGACAGTGCCAATGCAATTGCTTAACATGCTTTCTTCCTGTTATCCCGGGCTCTCGGGCGCCCTCCCACGTAGCCAGGGCTGGTGATAAGCCATCACGCGGACCACAGCTTGAGCAGCTTCTGCCAGTGGCAGTCTGGACTGACGGGGAAAGATGGGGCTCGCCATGACCACGCCATCTTACTCACCGGCCTGGACATATGCTCCTGGAAGAACGAGCCCTGTGACACCCTGGGTAAGACCCTCCGCTGGGGCTTTGACAGGTTCGCGTGTGCCGTGCACCATCAGCAGCCGGGACATGGAGGGTTCTCACCTCCCTCCCGGATCCGTAAGTGGCAGCTGCTGCTGAGTGCCGTCGTAGGAAACAGATGCGCTCCCTACGTAAACGTTGCTGCTGCAGAAGCACGCTTGTCGTCACCACAATCACTTCTTTCCCAAGGAAAGGGCTCACCGATTCAAGAACTCCTGTCTCTTCTAATTTAAGAAATAATTTCTTCCACTTCTTCCTCTAATTGTGAGAATGGGATCAAGAGGTCCAAGTGGGTCTCTCATTATAGGAAAGAAAAATGTTTATGAATATTTATAGAGATACTGCAATAATATTGTGTCCTTCATTTTTCTGTTTCTCTATGAACATCTCAATCTTAGCCATTTTTAGCATGTTTAAAGGGCTGAGTGTATCTTGGTGGTACTTTATAATACAAATTTTTTTATACTTTTCCAAACAGTGAAATATGAAACAGGAAACCCTTGGACAATCATACAAAGGGCCCTAAATAATGTGGGAGAAGGGTGTTTGTTCTCTCTTCATGGAAAACACTCCACAGTTCTGTGTAATGTTCAAGTTACAGGTTATAGTGGGGGTAACGTCCAAGAGGGGGTTTTCTTGCAAATGGTGCTACTGACAGAGGTGCTCCTGGACGTTTGTTTCTTCTGTTTTTTTTCCTAATTCTCCATTTCTTTCCAAGGTCTTGGGGAACAAGTCTCTTTATTACAAAAACATTCAAACAAGGCTGGGTTTGATAGAGGTCAGTCCTGACTCCTTGTTCCCAGAAAGGCCTGCACGCAAAGTGGGCCCGCGGCCGCCTGCATCCCTGCATCGCCTGGGGACCCAGCAGGGTTCCCGGCCCCCAGCTGGAGAGCCTGACCCACTGGGCCTACACTGTACACTCAGTGAGGCTGACCTGGACGCCTGCTTTCCTGCTGGGGGCCTGGAACCGGGGCCCACAGCCGGCAGAGGTGCTCTGTGGCCAGCCCCCAACCAACGCCTGGACCTGGGTCTCTGCTGAGCACCCCTGGTCGGCCTCATTCCTCTTGTCGTGAGGAGCTAAGTCATTTTATGCAAGGCCGCTGCGGAGAAGGCCCTGGAATCTCATGCCTGGTTTCCCCCGGGCATTTCCCCATGTGCTTATTCCCGCTGCTGATTCTACACTGTGTCCTTTATCCACATTACATTATACCCATGAGCAGGACAGATGCTGAGTCCTGTGAACCCCGCCCCCATCCCGGCAGGTCCTCCACCTTGGTGTGGCCTTGAGGACCACTGACACCCACTCTCTACAGCACTTTGTCTCTGGCCTCTGAGGACATAGATGTTTGTAGGAAGAAAGCTGAAACTCTCCTCCTTCAGCAGGGAACTCCCTCTTTGATGTTGCCCCTCTTGCAACCTGTAACTCGAACCTGACATAGCACTGTGGGCTGTTTTCCATGAAGAAAGAACAAATGCCCCCTCCCACGTTATTCAGGGCCCTTTACAGGGGTTTCCTGTTTCACATTTCACCTGACAAAGACGAGCACCAAGTGTCTCTGAAGGACAGAGGTAAACACACACGTGTGCTCTGCCCCCGTCTTTATTTTCCTGCAGTGCTGCGCCTGTATGTTCTTTTCATGTTTGTCTCATAGGATTTGCGCCCATCAGTGGCATGTGCAGTAAATACCGCAGCTGCACGATTAATGAGGACACAGGTCTCGGACTGGCCTTCACCATCGCCCACGAGTCTGGACACAAGTGAGTGCATGAGCCTGGGGGTGGGGCGGAGCCTGGGGTCCTCTCTGGACTGGATGTTTGTCTTGAGATGGTGATGGGTAGGTCATGTCTTAAGGGACATTCCAGCAGGAATGCCGTGGACCGTAGGAGATGCTCACGTAGGTGCGTCTATTTCATTTGAGTGCCTCACTGTGCATGGTCTCAAGCGGTGGTGATCCACACGTTTGCTCTTTGCTCCCTCTCTTCATCCATTCCTGCTCACACAATGTGCATACGGCCACAGACTGCAGACTCGTCTGTCTGTCTCTGCTTCTTTGTCCTGTGTTTTGAACTTGGTCCCGTGGGCTGATTGCATTCCCTGGCTAGCTCCTGCAGGAGGACCCCATGTAACAGTTCGCGTTCTGATGTCACAGTGATCATCTGTAGAGATGGGTCGTGGTTGGTGTGCAGGGTGTGGGGAACGCAGACAGGACAAGAGACGCAGTCTGGTGGGATCTGGTTGACTTCCCACATCCCCATGTGCCCACCGTTGTCAGTTGTGAATTGAAGCAGCCACAGGGTGAGTGGGGAGCCCAGGGTCTTGACAGATGGATGGACAAGCAATTCTCAGTGATGGGTAGCTTGTCATTAGCAATATCTTTTAAAGTGAGAAGCTTACCTTTATTCCTGTAGAAATGAAACACTTCTGTTGATTGTTTCTAACAGCTGTTATTCTTAAACAAGCTTTCTTACGCTTATAATCTACAGGTTGCCTCACTTTGGGGCACCAGCTACTTAAAAGTTTTTTTAACTCAATGGGGCTCACTTACTGACTTTCTGCAATTGCCTTGTTTATATGAGCATCAACAATAATAGCACAAATGGTTTTCTTCTGGATTGAAATTGTACTTGAAGCTTCTAGAAAATGCACAACCAAGAGTTAACAGTTTTTTCTAGTTTTACTTTCATCCTCATTGATTCTGCTAATCACAAAATTTGCAAAAGGCTTTGTTTGTCATTTTGTTTTTGTAAAGCTGACTTCTCCATCCGGTTAGAAATTGGACTGAGGCCACTCGTGTCATCCTAACCTGTGCAAAGCACCTCTGTGTGTGTGTGTGTGTGAGTGTGTGTGTGTGGACACATGTGTGCCTGCCTTTAATAGGATCTCACAGAGGCCCTGCAGACTTAGGCTATGTGTGAACTGATGACCTCAAAGTGAAGCTTTATATCTTATTACTGATCCCTTCATCATTACAGGTAATGATTGACTTTTTCAGTGCCTAGAAAATTGCAGCTACAATTTACAAAGCTTTCAATTAAATCATAATTGTAAATGGGCTTCTGGAGTTAAAACTTCAAAAACTCTCATTATTTTTACGACACGGGGCTCTTGCTGTCCTCTGAACCATACCTGAATTTAATTAAACAATCAAGGTAAGAAATATTTGAGTCGTCGAGGGCTGTACAAACCAGCATTAGATAAGCTGTTGAGATCCAGGCCCCGGCAGTCCTGGCAGCCGCAGCTGGTGAATTTAACTAAACTCAACTCTGTGCATCCAAGTCAAGACTCCCCGTCTTCCACATCAGCAAGCATCAGTGTTTGCTTTTATTTTTTTTCCTAGAGTGGGTACATCTGTGCCAAGTCACTTCAGTCATGTGTGACTCTCTGTGACCTCATGGGCTGTAACCCACCAGGCTCCTCTGTCCATAAGATTCTCTAGGCAAGAATACTGGAGTGGGTTGCCATGCCCTTCTCCAGGGGATCTTTCTGACCCGGGGATCTTTCTGACCCTGGGATCAAACCTGAGTCTCCTGCGTGGGTTGGTGGGGTTTTTACACCTTCCACCTGGGAAGCCCCTTTTTCTTAGAAGCCAGCTATCATTCCTTTTGTCACTAAGGCCTCAGTGTAGGTGAAAAAAGAATTTCTTCCAAACAAGAGAAAAGTGTGTTTTTTTTGCAAATGGAGGTATAGATGGGAGGAAAGAAAGGGTCTCTAGAGGTGTGGTGCAGGGATCCCACTCCTAATAGAACTGACCCCGGAAAATGAGCAGCTCCTTCTCCAGCACCTGCTGCTTGAGACCACTGTGCAAGAGGCGGAGAGGCTGGGAGCTCTGAGTGTTTCATGTAACCAGTGAAACAGCTTCTGATCATACTGAGGAAATTGGAAGTACAGTGGGAGGGGTGCACAGAAAAGGCATGTGTCAGCTGCCATAGCAAACAGCCTGGAATGGTAGCCCTGTCTGTGGTTATTCGGAATAGGGTCATGCATGTAATGAATGGAAATTTGCATCTGTGTCAGTGACCTGATGGCTCAAAAGAATCTGCCTGCAATGAACGAGACCTGGGTTTAATCTCTGGGTTGAGATGATCCCTTGGAATAGCAAATGGCAACCCACTCCAGGATTCTTCCTGGAGAATCCCATGGATAGAGGAGCCTGGTGGGCTACAGTCCACTGGGTCACAAAGAGTTGGAAACAATTTAGAAACTGAACAACAGTAATAGTCAGTAGTCTGTATCTGTCCATCCCAATTTCCCAGTTATCTCACCCCTCATTCCCCCTCCATGTCCATACGTAAGGAGGCATATTACTAATGCATCATTCACTGTGGCAACTGCATCCAATGAGGGGCTCGTGGCAGGGAGGACTCAGAAAGCCAGCTTCATGCCTTTCAGGAGAATCGAAAACAAACTCAGTTATTCAGTTTATTCATTTAATAACTATTACTACTTGGAGAAGTAGTCACAGGTTTAATTCAGGGATCCAACAGCATGCTTTCACCTTATCCTTGGCAGGGAGCTCCAAGCAGAGTCAGTTTCTGAGTTCTGTACCTAAAGAATTAAGAAGTAATTTTACATTTATGCAGCAATTACATTTCAGTTCAGTGCAGTCGCTCAGTCGTGTCCGACTCTGTGATCCTATGGACTGCAGCACGCCAGGCCTCCCTGTCCATCACAAACTCTCAGAGTTTACCCAGACTCATGTCCCTTGAGTCAGTGATGCTAAACTTCACCTGTGAAACAGGATGCTTTTAAGTCCTGTTTCACAGGTGAAGTTTGGTTTATATTCAGAGGGCCTCATCATTCAGGTTTATTATTACAGCCATAGATTCTTAACCTTTAACTCCAAAAAAGACTCAGTTCATGTCCAGCCCGTTGCTTCTGGCAAGTTCAGTTCTTTTTTTAATCTCAAGGCATCTTGTGATTTCTACTGGGGAATCTGACCTAGAAATGGGAATTGCCAAGAACTTCTGTTTGGATCTGTGTTGGGAAGGGGAGGAGGGAGACTGGAACTGGAAATGAGAACATGTCTGCCCCTTTCGAGTGTGCAGTTGAGCCAGGTCTGGTGCAAGGTGGGCTTCCTGGTCATGCTGAATCACTTGTCACACACAGCGTATGAGGTTTGCTCGATGCAGCTGTTGAAGAATTGGTGCAGACGCACGAGGGCTCAACTACACATTTTGGAGAATGTGTCATCTGGGCATGAATCCATTTGAAAAATTTTCATTTGCCAAAAGAAGTCATGCCATTCGATGGGCAGGGCCCTGGAACTCAGATCCTCAGATCCCTTTGGTTCTCTGGCAGCCTGACAGTGACCAGGGTGAATAGCCTGGTCTCTTCTTCCGTAGGTTTCTGTATACAAAACCCCTAGAGCCTGGGAGACCTCAGCAGGTGCAACTTGAGTTGTTATTTGAGCTGAGCATTGCTTGTATATGAAGTCCGCTTGAATCCATAATTTTCATGATCATTTCAGACCATCAAGGCAATATTAAACATACTGCGCTCAAGAGTATGCATAAGCCATTATCCTGCCCCCTGTTTTTTCCACTATTTACTGACCCATTTGGGGTCTTCCCAGTTGGTAAAGAACCTGCCTGCCAACACAGGAGACATAGGTTCGATCCTTGGTTGGGAAGATCCCCTGGAGGAGAGCATGGCAACCCACTCCAGTATTCTTGCCTGGAGAATCCCTTGGACAGAGGAGCCTGGTGGGTTACAGTCCGTGGGATCACAGAGAGTCAGACATGACTGTGCACACACATGCTTCTCTGATCCATTCACCGGACACAATTTGCATTCTGCCAGCAGACCATTGTGTAGGATTCTACAAACTGACTAGTGATCCATCCCCTCCAAAAGCCTAAAGCAAGATAAGATAGACATGGCCTGTGAGAGGTCAAGCAGTGAGGGCTGCAGGCTTGGCAAGGCATGCAAAGAAGATCAGGGAAGTCTTTTGGAAAGAAACAGAATTGGTGCACAGATACCATTCGGCTCAGCCATCCCTAGCTGGTGATATTAGATGCCCTTCCAGGCACTGGATGGTGACGTGTGCACCTCACTGATCTGTGGCTGTTCTCTGCCATCAGCCTGAGCCTCTAGTTGGGTCAGGGAGGCACTGGGTGATCTCAAGGGTCTAAAGAATATCAAAGCAGTGGCTGCTTAAAGATCACCTGGTGTGGTGATTGTCAGACTGTCCCCCAGGAGCCTCAGCAGGTTGGAGCATTTCTTATCAATTTCATATATTGTCATTCCTCTTAAGACTTTTTGTTTCTGTGACCATAAGTATTTGAAACCCATTGACCTTTGGCTGAACTGCCTCCTCATTAGCGCCCTCTCACATACACACACCCCCCAAAGTTATGTATGCAAGTGATATCTAGCATCTGGGTGTCAAGAGATTTGATCAAGACCACATGTGAATCAGGGAAAGAGATGTTTTGAGTTTTCCTTTTTTGACATGCATGATGCTAGATATGCCGAACAGTTTAAGAGGAAAGTTTTATTATGCCGTTTAATAGGTGAGAAAACTGAGACTCAGGGACTTGAAAAATTAGCTCCACACCAAACCACTTGTGAATGACAGGGCCAAGACCCTGACCGGAGGTTCCCCCACTGCCACAACTCATGTTCTTCCAGGTTACTTGACCTGCCCTGGCTTCCAGAGTCCCACCTGACTGCTGTCCCCATGCCGGCTTCCTGTCTCGGGGAGGATGGGTTCGCTCCTTGAAAGGCCTGCTTCAGAGTCTGGACAAGTCCTACCTGTGGTGCCATCATCACAGCCAGCCTGTGGTTTACTTTCCAGATGACTTTGCCCCATCGTTACTTTTGAAGGGTTTTCCCTTTGTCTTAAGCACTGCTGTCTGATCGGCCTGAAATATTGATGCAGCCTCTAAAAATGCTTGGCTCTTCATCCTGGGTGTATCATTGTGTGCATGCATACCAAAGTCACTTCAGTTGTGTCCGACCCTTTGTGACCCAATGGACCATAGCTTACCAGGCTTCGGTCCATGGGATTCTCCTGGCAAGAATACTGGAGTGTGTTGCCATGCCCTCCTCCAGGGGATCTTCCTGTCCCAGGGATCAAACCCGTGTCTCTTAAGTCTGCATTGGTAGGTTCTTTATCACTAGTGCCACCTGGGAAGCCTGGGTGTATCCTTAATAATAAAGAAATACTAGCTGATGTAATTGAATAACTCAAGAAAATTCTGTAAAGACATTAAAAGCATGTGACGCTGAATATAATTCTCAAGTCCAGTTTAATCTGAAATGATGTTTACATTTGGGTATTTGAGTTGGCGTTATAGCTGGAAGGTTGTTTCTTATTCATTCAACAAACATCATTGGAGCACCTGTTATGAGCTAGAAAGTCTGCTAGCACTGGGTCTCTGTGCACAGTTAAGAAGACCTTCTGTTCTCTAGAAACTTATAAGCTAGTACATAAGAAAGAAGAAATATGTATTATTTTAAAATATAGAATAGTAACCAGTTGGAATAAAGTACTGTGAGTCATGGAAGCTAAAAAAAAAAAAATCTGGCATGTACAACTTGAATAATAATTTTGTTTCTTAGCTGCCAAATACCAACCTTATCTTCAAAATGTGCCCTATTCACTCTTCCATGACTTTACTAATGTTAATATCAGCTGTGATTATTGTGTGCTACTTTCGGGCTACCAGGCTGACCCCCCACGCCCCCTCAGTGCAGTTTTGGCTTTGTGCTGTTCGAAGAACAACCTGAAACATAGTCGTGCTGGAGTTGGGGTGCGTATCAGAATCATTTTGTCAGGATTCACCCAAACCCCAGAACCTAACCCCCGACCGACTTGGGCTTCCCTGGTGGCTCAGATGGTAAAGAATAAACCTATGACAATCCTAGACAGCATATTATACAAGCAGAGACATCACTTTGCTGACAAAGGTCTGTATAGTCAAAGCTTTGGTTTTCCAGAAGTTATGGATGGATGTGAGAGTTGGACCGTAAAGAAGGCTGAGCGCTAAAGAATTGATGCTTTCGAATTGTCGTGCTGGAGAAGGCTCCTGAGAGTCCCTTGGAGAGCAAAGAGGTCAAACCAGTCAGTCCTCAAGGAGATCAACCCTGAATATTCATTGGAAGGTCTGATGCTGAAGCTGAAGCTCCAATCCTTTGGCCACCTGATGCAAAGGGTCAACTCATTGGAAAAGACCCTGATGCTGGGAAAGATTGAGGGCAGAAGGAGAAGAGGGTGACAGAGGATGAGATGGTTGGATGGCATCATCAGCTCAATGGACAAGAGTTTGAGCAAACTCCAGAGAAGCCTGGGTGCTGCAGTCCATGGGGTCACAGAGAGTCAGACATGACTGAGTGACTCAACAACAACCCCCAATGTTACTAAATCAAAACTCTACCATGCAGGCTTTGGGGAGCCAGTGTGTGGTACATTTCTCAGATATTCTGATGTTCAGACAAGTCTGAGAATCATTGAAAATGCCTTTGATGAAGATGTTTAATACAAGGTGTCCCCAGATGTGGGATACTGTGGCTTGAGTTCCTTAGAAATGAAGGCGGAATTGGTAGCAGATTCATCTAGGGCACTTGCTGATGTGCCCTAATGTGTCTTCTTCATACTGTGTATTCTTCAAGGGCCATCCAGGGGAGGGTACTTTACCATGTCATCTTCATCACTTTCTCCCCGAGGCAGCCTCCACGTGGATGACACCTGAATCCTCCATTTCTGGGGCACATCCGCTCTGCCATATGGTTACCGTCGCCTTGACTGAGTGCTTTTAATAGAATTTCAGAGAATGGGTGGAGGCCGGAATGATTACATGTACATCCCCCTTGGTACTGAGCGGGCATTTTGCAGTGTTTGTGCAGCAGGTCTCGTTGGGCCCACCCTTCAACCACGCTCAGGTTACACTATTGCACAGTTCCTGCCCAGGCTCTGACATCAAGAATATTGGTTTCCAGGCCCAGCTCTGAGACCCTGGACTAGTCTGTCTCCAGTCTTCTGTCTTGCTGCCATTGCAAATATTATGTCTACCTTGTAGACCTGTAGTGAGAAAATAATACTTAATGTGCTTAATATCCTACCTGAAAAATAGTGCTTACAAATGGGAGCTGTTCTTTTTCCTCATATTATTAAACAGCTCTAAGGAAAACAGTTGAGTCGTAAGCCTCTACCACAAGTGCAGATTCCCCGGCCCCCTTGGAGCCCACCTCCCATGTGTTGCTGTCTCCTAGCTCCTCCCTCCATTCACCATGGGGTTCTTGGCAGAGGAAAGCCTGCATGGATCCAGGAACCACCCATCCCTCTGTGCTTCCTCCCTCTCTTCCCTTCTCATTCCTTCTGTATCCCGCTCATTCACAACTGCTCTCTGGGACTCCATACAGTGATTGGATGGGTGCTGTGCTAAGTTGCTCAGTTGCATCCAACTCTTTGCAATATCATGGACTATAGCCCGCCACACTCCTCTGTCTGTGGGATTCTCCAGGCAAGAATGCTGGGGTGGGTTGCCATACCCTCCGCCAGGGCATCTTTCCAACCCAGGAATAGAACTGGGGTCTTCTGCACTGCAGGCAGATTCCTTACCAGCTGAGCTACCAGGGAAGCCTGATCGGGTGGGTACCAGACACTACAGGCCAAAAATGGCTTGACTTTCAAAGAATGTATCTGCCCCGATGGGAAGTCTTCAAGGTCATGGAGCTCCCAAGTCCCCCAGGCTTCCTTCCCAACGCAGCAAGTTGTGCTCTTTTGAGGTGGATGAAGATGGCAATCCTACAGGACTAGCTTTAGGAAGTTAAGAAGCAGCAGCTGATTTAATGGGCATAGGTAGCAGCTGTCAATGGGATTCTTACAAGCTCAAGGCTGCAGTTTTCTCAAGTGACAATAAGGATGCACTGCTGGCATTTTGGGTTTTGAACATCTGCAGAAGACCTGCCTGCAATGCAGGAGACCTGGGTTCAATCCCTGGGTTGGAAAAATCCCCCAGAGAAGGGGATGGCAACCCACTCCAGTACTCTTGCCCGGGAAATCGGGTGGACAGAGGAGCCTGGTGGATTACCGTCCACGGGGTCTGAAAGAGTCAGACACAACTGAGTGACCAAGCCCACATGCATAGCCCCCGCTGGAGATGCTGTTTTATAACTGAAATGTCTGCCCTTCACAGTTACCTGGCTGTGGGCTATGTTTTGAGGGTGGGCACTTTCAACAGCTGCACAGCTGGTAGTTTCTCCCGGAAGGGTCCATGACCACGTGAGTGTTCTCCCCGGTTTGTTTGTGAGGACCCTTGCCTGCCTGCCGAGCACACAGGAGAAGGGGCTTCCATAGAGCTGGCCTGTGTTGGTGTGAGCGAGTGTGATTGCTGACCCTGTTCTTTGCACTAAAAGACCCGTTTCTCTCCCACAGCTTCGGCATGGTCCACGACGGAGAGGGGAACGTGTGCAAGAAGTCGGAAGGCAACATAATGTCCCCCACGTTGGCAGGACGCAACGGGGTCTTCTCCTGGTCCCCCTGCAGCCGCCAGTACCTGCACAGGTTTCTAAGGTACGAGCCTGCCGCTGGCTCTGTGTCTCCCGGTGCCTTTGATGTTCACGGCTGGGCCCGCCGAGTCCCGTCGGAGGGGTCCCCAGACTCAGGTGTACCCGCCGCTCCCCACCTGCTGTGCGGCCAGGTTCCTAAGCAGCCGCAGAATGTGAGGGCTCTGCGGCCCGGGGGTTGGGGACCCCCGTTATAAAGGAGATGCAAAGAGCATGCTTCCTTATTTTCAAGATACCCGCTTGCTGGCAGGAAACAGGAGTGAAGTGGGCTGCTTTGGTCTCTTTAAACACATTCACATGTCTGAGCTTCATCAAAGAGAGTGTGAGAATCATCAGTCTTATTTCAATTATATATTCTTGGGGAAAACTTAACACATGAAACCACCTTACCTCAAGAATTTGTAGCAGATTATCACATGAAAAAATTAGTAGACTTGAAAGTCAGAGAGAGAAAACAAATGAAAGAAGACCAGGGGGAAACACAAATATATAGATCCTAGGGCTTCCCAGGTAGCACTAGTAAAGAACCTGCCTGCCAGTGCAGGAGACATAAGAGATGCGGTTCAATCCCTGGGTGGGGAAGATCCCCTGGAGGAGGACGTGGCAGACCACTCCAGTTTCCTTGCCTGCAGAATCCCATGGACTCTGCATGGACTCTCCTCCGCCAGAGGAGCCTGGCGGGCTACAGATCATAGGGTCACAAAGAATGGGACACAACTGAAGCAATTTAGCTCATATAGATTGTAAAGGACAGCCCTCAGCTGTGACGTTGAAGCTTAAAATCGGGCTAAGATGTTTCTATAAACTAACACAAGGAAATAGGGCAAACTACCAGTATTTCAAGGTAAGCAAAGTTTTACTAGCACAGAATTCTTTAAAAATATAAAACTGTGTATGTGTGTATATAAACATAATTGTAGATTTATATAGCTACATACATTTATAAGGGCCTCCCGGGTAACTCAGCTGGTGAAGAATCTGCCTGCATTGCAGGCAGATCCTGGTTCGATTTTTTTTCTGTTGCACAAATTAATTTGTCTTGTTTCCTGACCACCATTTGGGCAGAGGTCACAGGTGTTTTTCTTTTGGTTGTGCTCCCCGTGTGTTGTTTATCATCCGATGGACAACTTCCCACGGCCACCTGCGACAGCAAGCCAGTGGCTAGCTTTCTCTTCCTTCTGCCTTTTCCATCGCTTCTCCAGACCTCATAGCACACCTTCTGAGTCGCATCCTGACCGCCAGCCTGCAGCCGTGGTCCTTCCTCACAGCCTTACTCGGCCGCAGTAAAACAGTACATTTTACCACCTGAAGGAATGGTGGCTGCTTTCCATATCCTGTGGCACCCTGGCAGGGTGAGAATTGTGTGGATGATATCTGTATCCTGGGCTTCCCTGGTGGCTCAGTGGTAAAGAACCTGCCTGACAACACAGAAGACCTGGGTTCGATCCCTGGGTGGGGAAGATCGCCTGGAAGCAGGCATGGCAACCCACTCCAGTATTCTTGCCTGGAAAATCCCCAGGGACAGAGGAGCCTGGTGGGCTGCAGGCCATGGGGTTCTAAAAGAGTCATACAGGACTAAGTGACTAAACAACAACAATAACAAATCTGTATCCTGTAATACAAACCTATATTCTAGGAATATACACGTGATCTCTCTTTAAAATTTCTGTTACCAAAAAGGCAGCATTCACCCTCTTCTTCAGCTGACGTGACACCATGGGTCCTTTCAGCCTTCGCTTTCCCCTCTACAGTGTTCTCTTGGACTCAAGTTGGGGATTGTAAGCATTCTTTTTAGCTGCTTCATGCAGCTGCTCAAATTTTTAGGGGGGTGTGTATGTGTGTGTGTGAAGGATTCTGCTTTCTCTAACAAAGAAGTGTATTGACAAGGAAAATTTTAAATGTTTTTGTATCTAAAATCCTTTGTATAAATTTTATATTCTTAAAAATTTACTTCTTTTTCATCATACTGGTCTTGATGAAGATATATAAACTTTATATATGCTCTGAAAACCTGAAAAGCCCAGGCATCAGGGATGCAAAGTGTGGGCTTGCAGTGAAAATCAGCTTCATGAAAGAGTCCGGGTTTTAAACTGCCAAGAAATATAGAAGAACTCATGGAAAGAGAGCAGTCCTAGGCTGGGAGAATAATTCTCTCCATGACATTAATCATGGGTGTAATCGTCAAATCAAAATGTGACTCTGAGAATGACTGGTAAGAGTCTGGAGTCCGAAGCCATTTTGTTCAGTGATACTGGAATGGTTAAATGCATGCTGAAGTATGCTTATTGATTTTTGTGCCACTTAGTAAAACTCTTCTCTAGCCATGCAGTAATAAATAGTTGTTTTCAGAGAGTTTACTAATTTCTTTGGACCATGTAATAAGAAAAATGCGAGATTTTTTTATGCTCAGAAATGTGTTTTCTTGAAAGATCAAGTTTTCCAAGAAAGTCTCTCTATCAAATTCACTCTTGAGATTCTTAGTACTTGAGATGTCCGGTTGTGAACTGTGTCCAGAGTTTCAACCCTGACTTTTCACCGGCTTAATGAACCTGAATCCATCTTCTTTTACACATTCGCTGACTCCCTAACTTTCAAGTAATCAAAACACTGTTATATTCTCCACCAGTTAGTCAGCAATTTGGATGTGATCCCAACAGTGAGTAAGGATAAGTGACCAACTGTTCAAAGATGAATCTGCTTTCCTTTATTAGCAGTTTAGCATTGGGTATACAGAAAAATTATATATAATAAGGGGACTCAATTGGCCTGAAGTTGTCAGCATGACTTTTCTCTATACTTAGTAGATATGTGTTTATAGTAAATTCCTCAGCCTCATCAGTAAAGACGTATGTCACTTCCTGCAGACAGACAGACCTCATCACATTTACTCATGTCTGTATCTGGGAGGCCTAGGACTTAAGGAAATTTTAGCTCATTATTTTAAACTTAATGGCAACATGGGCTAATCTTCAGTTTACTCTGAAAGTTTGAATCATGAACTGCTGATCAGAGAACATGCCTCCCCTCTCATCACAGAACTGAACTGAACTGAAACATTTGTTCAGTTCTATCCAACTCTTTGCGTCCCCAGGGACTATAGCTCTCCAGGCTCCTCTGTCCATGGGATGCTCCAGGCAAGAATACTGGAGTGGGGTGCCATTCCCTTCTCCAGTGAACCTTCCCGACCCAGGGATCAAACCCAGGTCTCCTGCATTGCAGGCAGACTCTTCACTGTCTGAGCCATGAGAGAAGCCCTCTCATCACATAATCTGCACCCACACATGAGAAAGGCCATTGCGGGAAGCAGGAGTTTAAAGGGGTGCAGATGCCCTGGCGTGCCCCAGACCACCCTGTGGATGAGAAAGTTTGATTTGGCCAGAAAGAGTTTGGGGGCATAAGAGAAATAAGACATAGTTTACATCTTGCCCTGCTGTTTAATATTGATCTTAACAGAAACAAACCCTTGAGTCACGGCTAAGTGTAGTTTTTGTGAGATGGAATGATGAGCACTTTACCGCAGATCAGCCAGGGAATCAGCTCATGTGCCAACCTGGACTTTTCCATGTAAGCATGGGAGGCCTTGACTGTGGCAAGTAGGTAGCCCTTTCTGAGGGCCCATGTCCTCTCTTGGAAGAAGAGGTGGTGAAGGTAAAAAAAATCTCTGGAGGTCTTTAACCCGTTATGGTTCATGAGTCACAATGGGGAAAAGGACTTTGAAATTTCTTTATAGAACCTCTGGCTGGGCCTAATATTCTTCATTAAAGTTATTTTTTGCTGTGCTTGAACACATATATAATATATGTGTATAAAATTATAAGCTCAATAACATTTTACAGCCTGGTGGGGGCAACAGTCCATAGGGTCACAGAGTTGGACGTGACTGAAGCGACTTAGCACACACACTTCAGTGTAACTTCTCCCTAGGTCATGATCTGGAGCACATCACAATGGCCACGTCATGGAAACAGCCTGAGTGTCCTTCAGTGGATGAAAGAGTAAAGAGGATTTGATACATATAATGTATATGTGATATTTGTATGTATATGTGCACTAGTGTGTGTGTGTGTGTGTTTAGTCGCTAAGTAGTGTCTGACTCTACTTTAGCCTGCCAGGCTCCTCTGTCCATGGGATTCTCCAGGCAAAAATACTGGGCTGGGTCATCATTTCCTCCTCCAGGAGATCTTCCTAACCCAGGGATCGAACACAAGTCTCCTGTGTCTCCTGCTCTGACAGGCGGATTCTTTACCACTGATGCCACCCGGGAAGCTCATATATGCACTGTGTCTGTATCTACATATGTACACGGTGGAATATCATTCAGCCATAAAAAGAAGGAAGTTCTATCATGTGTGACAGTGTAGATGAATTTTGAGGGCATTATGAAATGAGTGAAATGAGTCAGAGACAGACACTGTATGATTTCACGAACTGTGGGATGTTGAAAAGAAAATCAAATAGAAGCAGAGAACAGATTGTTACTTTGGGGTGAGTAGGGTGAGGTAAAGATTCCCCTCAAGGTGAACAACCCCACAAAGAAAAGTTGGGAGGTGCCTAAGGTGACATACTGCTGTGGAATTTGTTGTGATTGCAGAGGTGTTTTATTTTTGTTTGTTTGCAATTAACTTTTGCTTATTGAAATCTATAAGAGAATTTCGTTGCTCTTTGCAAACACTTGTTTCTCCTCGCTCCGAATGCAAAATTCTACTGAAGCATGTCTCTATAGGGAAGAGATTGCCCTGTTTGTGGAGGAAGAAATCATTAGCTGGTAGTTAACCATCTGCTAGTGAACTGAAGGAGAGAATGAACTTCTTCTAGGCCTGGGAATCTAGTCAGAAATCCACCTTCCTATAGAGCATTTCTGATGGAAATCACGGCAGAAGTTCCATGTGGAAGCTGGAAGCTATTGTGCAGGAAAGAAAGGAAGAAAAAAATCACAGCCTTTGAAACTGGTTGATCGCGTTTCCACTGTTAACAATGCTCACTTCATCTTTTTATTGTTCCTGGCAAGGAGTGTACTTTAGACGGTGTCTGTTATAGGAGCTCCTCGCCTCGAACATCTGGTTGTACCCTTTCTTCTCACTTTCCCCATGCTAAGTGAGAGGTCCCATGAAGAGCAAATGGCCTCCCCGGAAAAGGTGACCTAGATTATGAACAGTTTCAGGAAGTGTGGCCCCTGTATTGAAATACGATGACAAATGTTTTATTTTGACCTCAAGAAAAAAAAAAACATGTCTCCTCTTCTTTGCACGAGGCATGTTGTAGGTGTTCATGAGGAGGAATAAAAGGCCTGATTGCACGGACACCTTTGCTAACCCCTGGCCTCACCAGCAGCTCCTCTGTGTTCTAGCACCGCCCAGGCTACCTGCCTTGCTGACCGGCCAAAGCCCGTGAAGGAGTACAAGTACCCGGAGAAGCTGCCCGGAGAGTTATATGACGCGAACACGCAGTGCAAGTGGCAGTTTGGAGAGAAAGCCAAGCTCTGCATGCTGGGTTTCAAAAAGGCAAGCGATTGTTGGAAAGTGCTCCATGCGGAATGCTTCATCAAACCGTTTTATTCGGTGAAGCTGACGTTGATGTATGCTGTATTTATTGGGTACCTACCAAATGTCAAATCCTGTGTGTTAGGGCTGACCCTGTATAACAGGAAACACATGTTTTACAGGCGAAGATGACCGTGGATGCTGTGGTAGGTATCAGTTTTCTCTCGAGTACTGACTTGTCCTCTTGGGTCAGTTCCTTCTGATTTATCATGTGGGAGTTCAGGGAGAACTCTTGGTTGGTGCAAGTTGGCAAATGAATGCACTGCATTCTTTTCAAATGGTGTTTAAGGAACTGTGCTCACTGCCCCCGCATCCCCCGCCCCCAACCTTCCTCAGACAGAGACAGAATTTACCATAAGGCAGTAGCCTATCTGGGACTTCTGATTATTAAATTCCTCAGATGAAGTATTTCTAGAGAAGCCTTTCATAGTAGTCCACTAACCCAGGGGACACAGCAGAGTGGTTTTCTCACATAAATTCCCCATATAACCCAGAGACATGCGCTCTTGCTAGACAAGGGAAAATGGAGATTTCATAACTCAATCTATTAAACTGCTAGCAAAGCCACCCATAAATTGAATGAAAGTAGCTATTTTGGGGCTTCCCTGGTGGGTCAGTCCATAAAGAATCCACCTGCCGATGCAGGAGACCTGGGGTTGATCCCTGGGTTGGGTAGATCCCCAGGAGAAGGAAATAGCAACCCACTCCAGTATTCTTACCTGGGAAGTCCCATGGACAGAGGAGCCAGACAGGCTACAGTCCATGGTGTCACAAGAGTTTTATGTTATCCTAGTTTGTAATAAAATCAAAAGGAAAGTGGACAAAAATATATAGTCCTCCAGAAATCTCCAACATTTCAGAACACGCTGGGAATGTGCCCAATTTAAATCTAACATGATCATCTTCTTTCTTCTAAACTCAAGTAGGTCTCCCCACAGAGTCAGTTACAGCTGTGTGCCAGAACTGGATGTTTATCTCCTCAGCTGGGTAATCTCAGCTTGGAACCAGAATAGTAAATCAGAAAGCATCAACACAGTACTCCCAGTGCTACTTTTTCCGTTGGAGGAATATGTAAGATCCATGAGAATTTGTGTGTTACTCTTCTGTTTGCTAAGGAAAAGCAGCCCACATCTAACATTTTCTTTCAAAGGTGGAGTGTTCTACGGCATACTCCTGGTTCCACACCGATTTGCTGAGGCCATGGGCTATCATCGTGGTAAACTGGTGCTGTTTGAAAAATACAGGGGATAAGTTCAATGCAGCATGTCTTTCTATTGTTGTTATTGTTTAGTCATTAAGTCGTGTCCAACCCTTTTGTGACGTCATAGACTGTAGCCTGCCGGGCTCCTCTGTCCATGGAATTTCCCAGGCAAGAGTATTGGAGTGTGTTGCCATTTCCTTCTCCAGACATCTTTCTATTACTGAGAAAATATTTACATGCAGGGAAATGCATTTGTTTTAGGTGTACAATTAAATTTTTACCTAGTAACCTTTTATCAAACTGAGGTTCCTTCCTGGTCCTTGCTTGGTAAGAGATTCTGTTAATTTGTTTGACAATATTATTTATAGATTCTGTAGCCTCTGCAATATTTGTTGCTTGGTATGTAATGATTTCAGAGATGAGTGTTAAGACCTTTAACAAAGATTATATATTTTTCTGTTTTTCCCATTAGTTCTATCAATTTTTGCTTTGTGTATTTTGAAGCTAGGTTTTTAGATGTATACAAGTTTTAGATTTATGTCTTCCTGATCCTTTCATTAATATACAATAACTTTATTTTACCTTTGGTAATGTCACTTTTCTTGAACTCTACTTTATCTTATGCTAATACAGCCACATCAGTTTATTTAAGAATACTCTTTGCATGATATTCCCCCATTCTTTTACTGCCCATTTCTTTGTGGTTTTATGTAACATGTCTCTGTTGTATCCTTTAGTTTGATATTGCTTTTGTATCCAGTTGAACAGTTTCTAGCCTTTCACTGGAATGTTTAATCCATTTATGTTTAATGTAATTATTGACATGGGACTTGCCAGGAGGCTCAGATGGTAAAGAATCCACCTGCAATGCAGGAGACCTGAGTTTGATCCCTGGGTTAGGAAGATCCCCTGGAAGAGGGCATGGCAGCCCACTCCAGTGTTCTTGCCTGAAAAATCCCCGTGGACAGAGGAGCCTGGCGGGCTATAATCCACGGGGTCACAATGAGTGGGACATGACTGAGCGACTAAGCACAACAGTTATTGACATAGTGAATTTAAATCTCCCATTTTGCTATTTGTTTCCTGTTCTCATTCCTTTTTCATTTCTGTTTTCTTTTGGGGTCACAAAGAGTCAGACATGACTGAGGGTCGTGGGGTCACAAAGAGTCAGACTCGACTGAGCGACGAAGCACAACAGTTACTGACATAGTGGATTTAAATCTCCCATTTTGCTATTTGTTTCCTGTTCTCATTCCTTGTTTGTTTCTGTTTTCTTTGGGATTAAATGTCTTTTCAAAAATTCTATTTTTTTGAACCAGTTTGATTTTTAGCTATCTTTTATGTGTACTTTTAGTGGTTGCTCTAAAGCTGCATCTTTAATTCGCAACCTATGTAGAATTAGCATCGTGTCACTTTATGCAAAATGCAGGATCTTTACAACAAATGAGTCCATGTCTCCTTCTTTCACACTTGGTACTATTGTCATGATGTATTTTATTTCTTTTGCAAGCTATGAGCCACATGGCACTGTTGCAATCTTTGTTTTAAAATAATGGATTATTTTTAAATCAAATAGAGTCGTTTTTTATGTTAACCCACACATTTGCCATTTATTATTCATGCTTTCTTATAGATCAGTTTCAAATTGTGTCATTTCCTTAGGGCCTGAAGAACTTCCTTTAGCATTTCTGTAGCACAAATCTGTGGCCATAAAGTATCTCAGGCTTTCTTTATCTGAAAAATGTCATTAATTTACTCTCAGTTTTGAAGAACAGTTTTTTCTGAATATAAAATTCTAAACAGTTCATTCTTTGTTCCTTTTTTTCCCTTTAGACCCTTTAAAGATAATAGTTCCATTTTCATCTGAACTCAGCTGTTTCTAATATAAGTTTGTCATCATTTGTATCTTTCTTCTAACATTTCTAATCATTTATTTAGACAATTCATCAAGCTATGCATTTGGGTTAAGTTTCATACTAGAACCACCATTTGGTTCTTTTTTATAGTCTGTATTTCTCTAGAGAATATCCCATTTGTTCACTTACGTCCATTTTTTGAATATATTATAACATATTACATGTATTACAATTATATATTATGATATATTGTTATTTTATATTATGTATATTTATATTATGTTGTTATAGTAGGCGAATTCTTTTGATCCCCTGAACCTTTGTTTTATTATTCCTTTTTTTTTTTTTAGTCACTCAGTTGTACCTGACTCTTTGTGACCCCATGGACTGTAGCCCACCAGGTTCCTCTGTTCATGGGATTCTCCAGGCAAGAATACTGGAGTAGGTAGCAATTTCCTTCTCCAGGGGATCTTCCAGACCCAGGAATTGAACCTGAGTCTCCCGCATTGCAGGCAGATTCCTTACCGTCTTAGCCACCATTATTCTTCCTTAGGGCTCATCTATTCTGGGTTTTCCTTAGCTCTAAGGCACAATATGTACTCTACCTATTAGACAGCTTGTGGTTCTCACTCGTGAGACATGGACTTTGGGCTTTCCACTGGACGCCCAGATGCTCCCTGTGGCTCTCCACACTGTGTGGGCCAGAGCACTGCTCCTTCCCAGAGCTGTGTATGTCCAATCTTCCAACACTTATCAGCTTTCAGCTCAAAGACGCTGCCCTCTGCCAGGCCACTTGGAGCCTCACCCTGTGTTATCAGCCATTCAACCCTCAGATAAGGACCTGCAGGAATCCTCAGGGCTCCCTATTCAGTGTAGCTTTTTCCTTTCAGGTCGTTGTCCCACAAATTCTAGCTACTTCTGCAGCCCCAACTTGGATCTCTGCACTCTCAATTCGGCAAGACTGCTATTGTCTGCATAGGATCCACATTTCTGTACCATGGTCAGCAAAATGTACCCAGGCAGGGAGCTGGGCAGAGGTGTCACTCACCTGATAAATTCCTCTTCTCTTGAGAACTAGGGACTGAATTGCTTGTTACAAGAGTCTGAAACAATTAGCCACTGTTATAGTTTTTAAATGTAGAAAAGTAAGCCTAGTACCAGTTACTTAACCATAAACAATAAAGTACCTTTTGAAAAAGAATCCATCAAAGTAGTATTGTGACATCATTCCCTATGATGTGAAATTGTTTTTTAATAAAGATAAAATTGACATAGTTTTCTTTTTAGAAGTTAAATTCTACTCATGTGGCCAAACCCTCTAATATAAGAATCTCAACTTTAGATACAGAGTGACAGTTAGATTCTATATATTCCATATGAATTGAAGCATCTCAGGAAATTCTCAATTATAAAATATAATTTTTCAAATGACCTCCTGCTGAAATCTTATAAGAATGAGTCTAATTGATTAAGTTGAAATGTAAAGATCTGGAGCTTTTCAGATGGTAGAATATGAAATAATAAATAACAGAGAAACTACCCAGTGCATAAACCCACCCTTGGCACTTAAGACCCACTTGGTACAAATTTGCGGCAAAGGGTGACAGATGGATAGAAGATATTTTAGACAGGCTTAAACCTCTTTTAAGTACCAAGTGCTATTTAATTTGGAAACCTAAGAGATGATGTGAATCCATATGCATTCTTCTCTTGGATGAATGGATGTGTGTTTGATGTGTATATATGGGTGTGTAAATACTCATGTATAAAAACACACACATAGATGGTCATGGCTTTCTCGATCCACTGATGACTTGTATATTGATAATCAGAACTGGTGATACAAACACACCACTGCTTAAAAAAAAATAATTGCAATAAATTATGTATCCTATTATAACATT